ACCACCTTTCCCAGCTGACACAGTGCTGCACAATCACTACCACTATTGAACTCCACAACACTTTGTCACCCCACAAACAAGTCTCATACCCATTAAACAGTCCCTTCCTCCATCCCCTGGCAAGTACCAATCTGATTTTTGACCCTATGGATTTGTCTGTTTAAATGGAATCATAATAGCCTTTTGTTGCTGCCTTCATCCACTGAATGTCATCAACCATTCATATTCTAGCGTGTTTCAGTGTTACATTCCTTTCTTAGGGCTGAATGATATTTTATCATATAGACATAGCATATTTTGTTTCTCCATTCATCACTTGATAGACTTTGGGTTGTTTCTACTTTTTGTCTGTTAAGAATAGTGCTGCTTTGGCTGGGGATTTAGCTCTGGTTCCACCGCCTGCCTTGCAAGTGTAAGGTCCTGAGTTTGATCCCCAGTACCAAAAAATAAGAATAGTGCTGCTTTACCAGGGTGGTGGCCACGTACATAGTCTCCTCTGCTTGGGAGGCTGAGGCAGGAGAGTTAATTAAACCGAAGAGTTTGAGGCTAGCCTGGGCAACTTATAGTCAGACTCCCTCTCAAAAAAAAAAAAGTTGCTTTCAACATTTGTATAAGTTTTTTTGAGTGTATGTTTTCCATTACTTGGGTATATTAACTAGTATATTTGGATAAATTTAAGTGGAAAGTTACCTACTGGTTTCACTTGAAGTAAAGTGCTGAAAGAATGCTTTTTCTTGGCATGGTTCTCAGGGAATACTGAAATCATGTAATGTTCCTGTTGTCTTGTCTTCATTTTACAGAATACTTTTGGAATCACAGTCAGTAGCCTTCCTCTGGAGTTGTGCTTGAGGAATGTTCTGAGTTATGTTGTGGGTGATTGTCAGTGTCACAGTGGTAAGAAGAAGTCTCTCACGTGGTGTTGAGTTGTAAGTTCTGCTGTGACATCAAAGAACCTGAATGTGGGGATTGCATTTAACATGATGTCTTCAGAGGGAGAGTCGGCAGGGTTCCCATTCTGTGATCTCTCTGGCATCAGTGATTTTAATTTACAGAGGTTTTATTCTTACTAACCACATTCCCTTCATATGAGGCTTGAACTATAAAGGAGTGTCAAATACTGTTTTCCATTTCCTATTTCAACATTTGACTCTGAAGCTTTGTTTTGCAGCCATTGCTTTGACATCTTTGCAAGACAAATTCATTTTCCTTACGGAGACTTGGGAAAAGTTTTCTTCTGCCAGTTTGGGATACTCTTAGCAACTCATTGAAACCTAAGGTTGTTTTTCAGATTTCTTAAAAGCTAGAAACATTCTTTGGTGTCTTTGTAGATTATTTCCAAGTGACTTCAGGATTCCCTGGAGACATCGAAAAACAGATAAATTATATATCAACCACCATCATATTTTTATTTCAAGGACTTTCTCTGTAGACAACCCCTCCAAAAGGGTTTGGAAACCACTGTCTGTAATAATAGAATACTGCACTAGAATCAGAAGATGTTAAAATCCATGACTTCGAAAGACATACTCTCTGTTAGCAAATAGTTTTTACCTTAGAATTTCTTTTTATAAAAATAATAAATAACAAAAGGCAGAAGATTCTAATGTATAGGAAAGTCTGATGGGAGCTGGGTTCTGTTAATCAAGGTACTTTGAATTTTTCGAATACTAGCATGTTGGGAGATATGAATACTTGAAAATTCTTGATATTTAATAATGTAAATGAATATGCTTTCTCCGATTAAAGTTTCTGTTATGCATGTATATTTTATTTATCCTTGTAGTTGTATTTCCAGAACTCTGTTCTTTTGTGTAGTTGCAGGTTTCTATATGGTATAATTTTCCTTCTGAGGGAAGGATTTCTTCAGGGCATCTTGTGATACAGGTTTGTTGGTAATGAACTCTTTTAGCTGCTGTATTTCTGAAGAAGTCTTTAGTTTGCCTTCATTTGTAGAAGTTATTTTTACTGGTTACAGAATTCTAGATTGATAGTTTTATTCTTTTAGTACTTTAAAGATGTTGCTTCACTGTCTTCTATCTTTCACTGCTTCTGAGAAATCTCCTGTTGTTGGGTTTACCTTTATTTCTCAGTGCATAATGTGTGATTCTTTTCTTTTTTCTTTTGAAGCAGAATCTTGGTGATTTGCCTAGCTTGGCCTCAACTCATAATCTTCCCACCTCAGCCTCCAAGTAGCTGAGATTATAGGCATGTGCCATTGTGCCCAGCTCTCAAAATTTATTTTATTGTGATAAAATACACATAATATAAAATCTACCATCTTAACCATTTATAAGTGTACAGTTTAGTGGCATTAAGTACATTTAAAATGTGTAACCATTATTACTGTTCATCTTCAGAACTTTGTAAAACTGAAGCTTGGTAACCCTTAATTTCTTAACTGTGCAGTCCCCCTCCTACAACTCCTGGCACTTGCCATTCTACTTTCTCTGAATTTGATCACTTTGGTTACCTCATATAAGTGGAATCATATAGATTTATCTTCTTGTGACATTTTTCTTGTACTCAGCACAGTGTCCTCAGGGTTCATCCATGTTGTAGTATATGTGGAACCTTCCGTTAGGACTGAATAATATTCCCTTATTTATACATGCCACATTTTGTTTATCCACTGCAATGCTATCTCTGTTGTCAACTGGATTAGCTTCAGAGTTTCCTCGGAGATTAGTAAAGCATGTTCGTGCATGTGTCTGAGTGGTTGTGGGAGTGTGGCCATAGGGACTCTTATCTGGGCTCTCCCCTGCTCACTACTTCCTGGATTCCATTAGTTGAGCAGCTTTCCTTTGCCCTGGACTTCCACCATGATGCTTCTTACTTGGAACCTGCTGACCATGAACTGAAAATTCTGAAACTGCAAGCTAAAATAAACCTCTTCTCCTCAAGTTGCAATTGTCTGGTGTTTTGTCCCAGCAGTGTGAAAGCCGAGCATATATTCGTTCATCTGTGGATGATGGACACTTGGGTTGCTTCCAGCTTTAGCTCCTGTGAATAATGCTGCTCACAAGGGTCCCACTTTCTCCCCACCCTCACCAACATTTCTTTTCCTTTTTTCTTTTCAATAGTAGCCATTCTGATTGGTGGGAGGCAGTTTTGATCTGCCCTGTACTTGTGACCTGCGTTTCCGAGTGGCAGTGATTCTGAGCATCTCCTTCTGTGCTTCCTGGCCACTCCTGTGTCTTCTTTATAGACACGTCTGTTTACGTCCTTTGTTGATTTTTGAATCCAGTTGCTTGCTTGTTATTTTTGTCACTGTTGTAGAATTTTAAGGGTTCTCTGGATATTATAAAATCATTAGACACATGATATTCAAAACCAAATATATTATAAAATACAGTGGTACCTCAGTTCACAGACATTTTTGTTTGCAAACAGAAGTGCTTGGCAAATTTTGTTTTTGTTTTTGAATTTTGCATAAGGTGACAGAGACAGCTGTGGCCATCTTTTTCAGAATCATGGAACAAATTAAGTTCGTAAACCAAGGTACCACTGTGTTTTCTATTTTCCCCAGTGCTTTTTCCTTATGTATGGTTTTAAGTAATTTGATTTTGTTGTGCCTTGGTTTTGTTTTCTTTCATGTTTTTTTTTCCTTTTCCTTTGGCTGTGGTATTGAGGTTTTTGAAGCTGTGAACCTATATTTTTCATCAAGTTTGGAAAATTTTTGGTTATGATTTCTCCACAGTGCACATTTCAGTTACACATATGGTATTAGGCTCCGTGAGATTGTCTCATAGCTCTGCTCTGCTCATTTTTTCCAGCCTTACTCTGTGCTGAGTCTATCTGCCTCTGCCTGCCTGCCTCCCTCCCTCCTACCCTCTCTCTCTGTCTCTGTGTCTGTCTGTCTCTGTCTCTCTGTGTTTGTCTCTCTGCGCCCCCCCCCCATTTTTCTATACTGGGGATTGAATCCAAGGCCTTCACATTGAGCTACACCCCCCATTCCATTTTTAACTTTGAGACAGAGTCTTGCTAACTTGCCATCCTCCTGCTTCAGCCTCCCAGGGTGCTAGGATGACAGACGTGTGCCACCGTGCCTGGCTATTTTTTGGCTAGCCTCTATCTTTACATTTGCTCTGTCTTTACATTCACTAATCTTTTCTTCTGCTGTTAATCCCCTACAACATATTTTATTTCAGTTGTATAGACTATAATTTGTAGTTTGATAGAAATGCAGTGATGTGGCAGATTTAAGTACTGTCTGAGTTTGTTGCTGAAAACAGATTTCTAGTTTTATAACTTGCTAACAAGGGTACACAAAACTGCCCTATGTCACATTTACTTGGATATCCCTCAGTTTCCCCATTAACTTTGTTTCTCTGCTAGACCTACATATTCAGTTTTGCATGATTATTCTACATTTGTGCTGTCACAGTTTACATTAGTAGTTACACAGTATTTGTTTTATAAGATGTCAGAATGCTTGGTCTATTTAGACTGTATAGACCAGATTAGAAAAAACAACTGTAGGGCCGGGGATTTAGCTCAGTGGTTTCACTGCTTGTTGTGCAAGTGCAAGGATCCAAGTTCGATCCCCTGTACCAAAAAAAAAAAACCTGTTATCTGATAACTTGGCTGCTGGGGGGACTTGGCTTGGGTGCCTACAAAGAGGGCTCTGTGTGCCTGCTGTGGCACATGTGCCATAGGTTCACCACCACTGATACAGACTGTATTATTTATATTTGTGTGATATGATTATCATCTTGCTGTAAAAAATGACATATATTTTTCCACAACATTACTGTTCTGCTTACTTACTAGTAATCAGGCTGGGTTGCCCACTGAAGTGTACCTGTGGTTGTTGCTCTCATTTGAAACCCCAGTGCCAACTGGGGTTGCCCACGCACATTACCTTGGTGTGATCTTTTGATGTGCACTAATGTTAACTCGAAAAAGTTTGCAGCCTGAAAACTGGTAATGTCTGTCAGCCAGTTATTTGTATTCAATACTCAGCATTTTTTTCTCCTTCTCTTGCTCCTCTATCCCAGCAGGTGTTACCCTATGGAGAAGAGGTACCATAGTCAGCCCTTTCTGCAGATGCTGATGCTTGGTGAACAGCTGATCACAGGATTTGGAAAACACAGTGTCCATCCTCCCAGATTGGATCTCTCTCTCTTTTTTTTTTTTTTTTGGTACCAGGGATCAAACTCGGGACCTTGCGCTTGCGAGGAAGGTGGTGGAATCACTGAGCTAAATCCCTGTCTCCTGAATCTCTTTTCATAAGGATATTCTATTTCTATGTCTTTTTAAAAAATAACTTTTTGGGAAACATTTTGGATTATAATTGTTTGTTCTCATCTATGCAAAGGAAGGAAGACTGTTGCTGGGATTTTTAAGGAGGTAGGTCTTTTTTCTTCTGCAAAATCACATCACTTAGAACTCAGAACAGTACAAAATAATGATACAGCTGAGACACTTTCCTGTCTAGAACTCAGTTCTCTTTCATTGACTTGTTTTGTTTTCATTTGTCCCAGTTTCTCTTCTAGCAATTACAGTAGCTAAACAAGAACTTCTTGTATATAACAGGCTACTTCTTAACATTTTTCCTTAATGTTATTGGGCATTGGGTAAACCAGTGATGGCAAACTTTTTAGAACTTTCAGTGATACAGCCTGCTGCTGCATGTGTGCCTAGGTTCACCCCCACTGGTGTTTGTTATAAATAACAGCAAGCAGTTTGAGTTTTTATTCTTCAAGATGAATGTGACTTCAGTGAACTTTCTTTTCATTTTACATAAACCTAGATGGTTTGAGGAAAGTTAGTATTTTCAGTATAATGTGTTTATACAGTTTTGTAACTTGGTACAGTATCATTTGCAAGAGGAGGTATGATATAAATTTTGAACTAAAATTGAGAGACTTCAGTCTTGGTTTTGACATTTCTGCCATACTGTGAGAATTATAGTACATGTTTGTTTCTAACCTCTAAAATGGGCAAATTGTTACTTGCTTTTTACAGCTTATGGAGCTATTGATAATCAAATGAGAAAATTTGTATGCATGACTTTGATCAATATAAAGGGTTATTACTGCGTTGTAGATTTGTAGGCTTGCCCGTTTTTTTCACTCAGTCTCAGTTTTTCTTTCTGCAGACCTTTTGATGGTATAGGCCTGCCATGACCATTAATCAGATTTGTAACTTTTTTTTTTTTCAGTTTTTTGAGACAAGGTCTTGCTATGTAGTTCAGGCTGGTCTTGCACTCACTGTATAGCCCAGGCTGACCTCAGATTCTCAGTGATCCTCCTGCTTCAGCCTACCAAGTGCTGGAATAACAGGCATGTGCCACCACACCCGGTGTAACTCTCCATTCTTTTTTTTTTTT